TCATTAGCTCATCCATGAACATGATTTCTGCCCGAGTCCCGTCGGATTGCATCGGCTGTGGGGATGAAGACGACAAATCCCATTATTCCACACTCAAGTCACGGCGTCATCAAACTACGCCTTTGTTTCTTTGTTTATTTTGAATACGCGCCCTTTAGCGGCGAAAATTACATATTGTGCCTTTAATGCATCCTTGCTAAATAACAATATTTTTTTTCTTAAATAATAATAAAAAAAACCTTACTAACCCATCTGCGCATCTTTTGTATGTAGACAAAAGATGTGTCTATAACAGAGATCTTTGTGCCCACCACAAAGCCCTCTCTCTGTGTTCATCCCTCGTGTGTAAGCCTGGGGTGGCAGCTTAAACCAATTCTAGCATCCTGTTTCCGCTCTCACTGACAGTCTGATATGGTTAACCATACCAAGATCCAATTACCCTCCTGCTATTTGCTCTTACTCTTTCTAAAACTCTGTGCCCTGCTCATGCTGAGGCCAGAGGCATAAGACTGCTTCACTTTACTGGAAGTACCCATGAACCTAGTTAATGTAGCACAGTTTGTGTATTTATTATAATGACAGTATAAAAGCCAAATATCTAATTCTGGAAACAACAAGTGAAACAACAGTAGTATTCCCATATACTATATAGGTATTTACATATTAGCAAGGAGATCATCATATTGGAGGCTCTTGGCATAAATGCATTCCCTCCCCTCTAGTCGTTATAAAATGTATCCTACAATGTATACAGTACATAATATGTGGTTCCCTAAAGAGGGTGTGCAATAGGACCCTCCAATATTTAGCTGTAGCCTATTATACTGATAACAAATACATCAATTACATAATATTGTAGAAAGACTTGACACACACACACACACACACACACACACAAACAAACAACACACCTTCACACAAACAAGTAGGCCATTTCACTCTCTTTCTCTTTCTTTCTTTTTGTTTGCTTTTCTCTTGGATGGACACATCAGGCTTTAAATCGAATGTGCTTCACTGGAGCTTTGTTTGCCGTGCAGCAGGATATCGCACAGAGAAAGTGAAATTGGCAATTTGGTGTGGTGGGAAGGAACAAAAAGAGAATCAAATGTCAGTAATACTTAGAATGAGAATCTTGCATCCAGATGATATAACAGCATACAAAAATATTCTCACTATGTAAAAATACAGGTTTAAGAAACCTAATTCATAACACTGTCATACAAATTCATAATATACTGTCATAAATCTGACACTTCTGGTATAATGTTGCTAACATGTGAAGTGTAAAATGGCTTGAAATTATTATTTGTCTTAGCTACATGTTTAAAGCTACACCAACTTTAAAGGGAAATTTGTTTTTATTACTTTGTCAAATATTATATAATATTTATTTTTACTGTATTAAAAAAGGCTGCAAGGGGGTGGTTGGGGTCCACAGAAAATCTAAAGAAAAAATATTTTACCCAAGCATTTTGTTTAATTTATCATTTTAGTGTCATATATCATCGTTTGAATGTTCTTTTGTGTATCATTGCTGCTGCTGAGTGCTATAACAAATACATCAATTACATAATATTGTAGAAATGTTTTTTTTTTTTATCAGTTGTATATAACCATATATTTTTTTAAATGTCTTTTCTTTCAGTTATGATGAATGTGTGGGACAAGGGACGCAGATATATGTTCCTACGGACGATCCGCCCCCCTACTCCCTCACAGACCCGTGCCGGGAGCAACCCGCCCCACACCATCACACAGAGATTGAGGATCTGCTCGCTGGGGCTTCTTGGGTGTCAGCAAGTGGCTCTTCCCATTTCCCAACCAGACTACAGGACTTCAGGCACCAGCCGATCGCCTCCATCTCTTTGTCAGCCTTACCTTTAGATGAGGCGCCCCCATACGAGTCAGTAGTGAGTGAACAAAACCAGCCCCTTCCTCTGATGCCCCTGGATCTGCTCAAACACACTACAGCGGAGAGCAGTCCTCAAGACAGCGTTTCCCACAGGATCCTGTAATCGTGGCCTCTCCAGCACACTCATGCGCCACCTTTACCAAACCAGCTTTGAGAGGGACTCTTTTGCGTGGCTGGGGTCTCCTGAGTCAAGAGCTGAAACCGACACCTGCAGAAGCCCACAGTTACCTCTCACTTCAGCTGACACAGATACTGCACCTCCTGTTTTATGTGACACTGCAGGAGCCACCATAAGAGCACAGGGCTATCGACCACTTTTTTGTGCGTCACCTCACCTTGTCTTTTGCTTATGGTGTAATTAAATATCAGCGTGTGTCTTCTCTTATTGGTAGACTGATTTCAATTTCACAAGCATCACAGCTAATTTCAACAACCATCGAAATGTGCCCTTCAGGATGTCAGAAAAGAGGAGAAAGCCTCTTAATAAACCTGGGACCATTATAGAGAAATTTACATAGGAATAGAAATATATCTTTATTTTAAGTGTGAAAATATGTGTTCCTGCATGAGTGACTGTGTATTTCCACATGACTGTCTATTACAATTTTCTCCTTTTTTTTTCTTTCAAATTTTGGGTTGGTTTTAACTATTTATGTTTTGTAAACTGAAAGTTTTTTTTTTTTTTAAGATAATATTTTGTAAATTTCATAGAATAACTAGCAAAGATGAGTTTTATGTGACACTGCAGGAGCCACCATAAGAGCACAGGGCTATCAACCACTTTTTTGTGCGTCACCTCACCTTGTCTTTTGCTTATGGTGTAATTAAATATCAGTGTGTGTCTTCTCTTATTGGTAGACTGATTTCAATTTCACAAGCATCACAGCTAATTTCAACAACCATCGAAATGTGCCCTTCAGGATGTCAGAAAAGAGGAGAAAGCCTCTTAATAAACCTGGGACCATTATAGAGAAATTTACATAGGAATAGAAATATATCTTTATTTTAAGTGTGAAAATATGTGTTCCTGCATGAGTGACTGTGTATTTCCACATGACTGTCTATTACAATTTTCTCCTTTTTTTTTCTTTCAAATTTTGGGTTGGTTTTAACTATTTATGTTTTGTAAACTGAAAGTTGTTTTTTTTTTTAAGATAATATTTTGTAAATTTCATAGAATAACTAGCAAAGATGTGAAATTACCTTTAATAGAAATTTGAATGTCATCAGAAAATCAATGTGCTTTGAATCCATACTTTTTTACACATCATTTCATTTCTTTGCTCCTTTACATCAGTGGTTCTCAACCAGAGGGCCAGGGCTCATTAGGGGCCTAAACCAAACTACCTGATAAGTCTTAAAATTATTTAAATTTAGTTATATTCATATAATCTCAATGGAATAGTTCACCCCCAAAAAATAATAATTTGCTGAAAATTTACTATCCCTCAGAACATCCAATATGCAGATGAGTTTGTTTCTTCATCTGAACAGATTTGGAGAAATTTAGCATTACGTCACTTGCTCACGAGTGAATCCTCTGCAGTGAATGGGTGCCGTCAGAATGAGAGTCCAAACAGCTGATAAAAGCATCACAATAATCCACAAGTAATCCACATGACTCCAGTCCATCACTTAACATCTTGTAAAGTGAAAAGCTGCGTGTTTGTAAGAAGCAAACCCATCATTAAGGTATTTTAACTTTAAACTGTTGCTTCTGGCCAAAATACCAGTCCATAATTCATAACGCTTTTTCCATTAAAAAAGTCCATCCCCTCTTGACCTCTCACACCAAAATACACCAACATATTTGTTTAGAAATGCTTTTAAATTGCTTGTAAATGGAGTGTAATCCTGTTTCAGACAAGACAACTTTTTAGCCAGTAGTAATGGTTTGTTCAAAACATGATGGTTTGTAAACTACAAAATGAAAAAAGTCTAATGGTGAATTTATTACAAACACTCAGCTTTTCGCTTCACAGGATGTTAATTGATGGACGGGAGTCGTGTGGATTACCTGTGGATTACTGTGATGTTTTTATCAGCTGTTTGAACTCTAATTCTGACGGCACCCATTCACTGCAGAGGATCCATTGGTGAGCAAGTGATGTAATGGTAAATTTCTCCACATTTTGGATGGCCTTAGGGCAGGAGTGTCCAAAACTGTTCCTGGAGGGCCATTGTCCTGCAGAGTTTAGCTCCAACTCTAATTAAGCACACCTGAACCAGCTAACCAATGTCTTCAGACTCACTAGAAACTTCAAGGCAAGTGTGTTTGGGCAGGTTTGAGCTAAATTCTGCTGGACAGTGGCCCTCCAGGAGCAGGATTGGACACCCTACATTTTCAGCAAATTTTCATTTTTAGGTGAACTGTTCTTTTAATTAAAATTATAATAAATAAATGAATAAATAAACCCATGCAATATTAAACTGATATCTTATTTATTTATTTGACATCGTTTATTTATTTTTATCACAACAAAAGTGCCAGATGTGCATATTAGCATAGATAGCAGGGCATTCGGATATTGTCTCGGACAAAGGAGAGCCTTAGAGTCAAAAACGTTGAGAACCACTGTTTTACATCTATTTCATAGATCACTGTGATTTATTTATATTTCCTTCTGTTTGCAGAGACGTCTGTTTTCCTAAAGTCTCAAATGCATCTGAAGATCCTATTAGGAGAACAGCAGCTGTGTGATAAGTGAAATCAATGCATATGACAATACAAGCTATAATTAGAAAGGGCTGCAGGGAACACTTTGCCAAAGGGTGTAAAACAAATTTCCATTGTTCTCCTAAACTGCATTGATGCTGTGTACATTATAACATAAGAGCTGAGACTGGTATCCAAGCAGCTCCACTGCACAGCCTTTGTAGCACTGACGTCAGTATGAAATAAAACATAAGATAGTTCTTTCTGGACACACTCTGTGCTTCCTAAACATGTACTATGTATCAGATTTGTTTCTTTTTTTGCTCTAACATTGCCCACTTCATTCATTTTAACACGAAGGATTCCCCACACGCATGTTTCTAATATACAACGTGCCTATTAATCACCATGACTGTTAGATTAACATTTTTAAGTGTAGAAACTTTCATTCCAAATGATACATATATATATAAGCTGCCCAGAAATGACACATCACCTCTATTCTCACCACTTCCCTCACAGCACGAAAGTATATACTTATAGAAAAGAGGGTCTGTAAGGTATTTTTAAATTGAATTTGATGCATGAATGCGTTTCTTGTGTAGTGAAAAAGCAGCTCAAAGCAAAAATGAATATTAAACGGGTCCTAATATGCTCTTTTACAAAGTCTTGACTTAAGTTGAAAAAGTGAAAAAGCATAATAGGACCCCTTTAAATGGCCCATTATTTATTGTAGTTTGAATGGATGTCACCTTTGGACTCATATTATTCTACTTTTTACTTCCACCAATGTTTAGTTAGAAAGTTTATACTCATCACCTTTGAAGAAAGGTTACTTTTTCTATAACAACACATCTGAAGTAGCATTACAAGGTAATTTTGGGTAGATGTCGAGCCTGTCTCGTTTTGCTCATATAGCTCTGTAAAAGCGTGAGCTGTATCAGACAACACCTTAGATGAAGAAATGGTCCAGATGTTCTATGATGTAATGAGTAGAGGTGTATTAGCTGTTGCCACCACACTGTAATAATAATATTGTGTCTGTAAACCCTTGACTTTAATGGAATAGTTCACCCAAATATGAAAATTTGCAGAAATCGTACCCTTATGCCATCCAAGATGTAGACAGAGTTTGCTGCTTCATCGAAACAGATGTGGAGAAATTTAACATTACGTCACTTGCTCACCAATGGATCCTCTGCAGTGAATGGGTGGCGTCAGAATGAGAGTCTGATAAAACATCACAAAAATCCACAAGTAATCAACATGACTCCAGTCTGTCAATTAACATAGTGAAACGCTGCATGTTTGTAAGACACAAATCCATCAAGGCATTTTAACTTTAAACTGTCGCTTCTGGCCAAAATAATTCATAATCCATAATAACGCTGAAAAAGTCCATCCCTTGATGTCCTTTCACATCAAAATCCACTGACATATTTGTTTAGACCTGATTTGGTTTGTTTCCACTTATAAATGGTGCAGACTTTTCACTGAAAGCATATGGATAGAGGACTCGTGTTTTAGTCAGAAGCAGCAGTTTGAAGTTAAAAAAAGGTTTTGATGGATTTGTTTAGTCCAAACACGCAGCTTTTTGCTTCACAAGATCATTAATCAATCGCTGGAGTCGTGTGGATGCTGAATTTGTCTGAATGGTGAAATTCTTCAAATCTGTTCAGATGAAGTAACACCCTCAGGCCATGCAAGATGTAGGTGAATTTGAGTATATTTTCAGCAGATTTTAATTTTTGGGTAAACTATTCCTTTAAGTCACACTTGTTAGCAAGGCTAACAGATAAAGATAAAACGAACACATAAAGTACAGATTTAAAAGAATATTACCAAATTCCTAATGAAGATCTATTTCCCATTGTTCACACAGTATTTATTTTCTGTCGTTTTTAGGGTTTTGTGTATTTTAGCTGCATCTAGTGAGCTGATGTTCAGGAAAATCACTTTAACTGGCTTACATTTGTGTGCTAAACTATTTTAATTAGTTTCATTAGACCACATGGATGTGTTTCTTACACCAGAATAGCACCTTAGCTTCCAAGCCCATTGTAAATGTTGACTTGTACATTAAATGAATACATCTCAAATGTGTTAATTCTCTGTCACTATGTTGTGGTTGGTTGTCCAAAGTGATAATGTTGTTTCATAGAGCTGCAGACATTGATGTGTGTTTTGTATTAAAGTCTTTATTCCTTTACCACTGTATCCTCTAAATAAATAAAAACACAAGACTTCTATCTACCGAGATGTCCATCTTTCAATGCTTTCTGGGACAATTTTACGTTTTGTAAAAACAGACCAATAGCAAATTCAGTAAAACAGCCATGAAAGATTTTGTTGTGCTGTTACTGCTGGCAAGTTTCAGAGAATGTCGTGCAGTTTAGCAACAGATGTTGATTGTACACTGAAGGCTTCCAGATGGACAGAATATTTCCTGAACCATTTTGCTCATTGTGAAATTCTTCAAATCTGTTCAGATGAAGCAACACCCTCAGGCCATGCAAGATGTAGGTGAATTTGAGTATATTTTCAGCAGATTTTCATTTTTGGGTAAACTATTCCTTTAAGTCACACTTGTTAGCAAGGCTAACAGATAAAGATAAAACGAAAACATAAAGTACAGATTTAAAAGAATATTACCAAATTCCTAATGAAGATCTATTTCCCATTGTTCACACAGTATTTATTTTCTGTCGTTTTTAGGGTTTTGTGTATTTTAGCTGCATCTAGTGAGCTGATGTTCAGGAAAATCACTTTAACTGGCTTACATTTGTGTGCTAAACTATTTTAATTAGTTTCATTAGACCACATGGATGTGTTTCTTACACCAGAATAGCACCTTAGCTTCCAAGCCCATTGTAAATGTTGACTTGTACATTAAATGAATACATCTCAAATGTGTTAATTCTCTGTCACTATGTTGTGGTTGGTTGTCCAAAGTGATAATGTTGTT